TTTTTTTTAAANAGACTGAACACCTAAGTTTCAAATTATCATATTATAAGGTAAGCCTACATTCACAATTACTATAATTTAGTTAATTAAATTGTTCATATTTCAGATATCGAATTGTGCTTCTATCAATACATCATATCAATTCTGCTTTCTGCTGCTCATCATCTGCCATATCTTCTGTTCACTTTGACATCAACTTTGGAACTGGCTTGGTATGACTGATTAGCTCTTATATACCCAGTCACCAACTAACTGGAAAAAGCGGTTTAGCACATTGGGTCTCTAACTCATAATGGCCTGATGCAAATGTCTCTGTTTTACATTTCAGTGGCAAAAAAATTGAGTGATGTTGGGTAATGATTGAGGTGTGAAAATATTCAGTCTATTTTCCAAAACATTTTAGGTAACTAATATGACTGTGCCCTGCTAGGATAAGGTAACTAATATGACTGTGCCCTGCTAGAATAAGGTAACTAATATGACTGTGCCCTGTTAGAATTAGGTAACTAATATGACTGTGCCCTGCTAGAATAAGGTAACTAATATGACTGTGCCCTGCTAGAATTAGGTAACTAATATGACTGTGCCCTGCTAGAATTAGGTAACTAATATGACTGTGCCCTGCTAGAATTAGGTAACTAATATGACTGTGCCCTGCTAGAATTAGGTAACTAATATGACTGTGCCCTGCTAGAATTAGGTAACTAATATGACTGTGCCCTGCTAGAATCGTATAAATACGATTCCCATCTCTACTAGAAGAGATGCCAACTCTACTGGATTTGCATCTCTACTGTGACATATACATACATGTATACTTCAATTTACTACCAGTTCTGTATATACTCCTATTTGTGTCCGTTTGATGACTCTTTTGAAGGTACAGATGTTCTGATGTGATCTGGAAGAGTATTGTATGATTTCGAGCACCTGTAAATAAAAGTCGTAGTAACTGCTGATGTTCTTGGATTTTGCGGTTTTAAACTATCCCTTGTTGCAGATCTCGTGCTGTAACTCAGCTGGTTAGATACAAGCTGTAGTTTACTGTAAAGTGTTGTCGGTTGCTTATAGAAGAGCAACTTGTGGAAGGCACATATGTTGTAGTCGTAGAGTCTTTCATTAACAGTGAGCCAAGATAACACAAGTCCCCCTGCCTTATTCTGCATTACTTGGAGTACGGTGATGTTCTTTTGTGAGGTAGGGAACCATACCGCTGTACAGTAGTGCAAGTGTGTCAAGGTAAGTGTCTCCGCCAGCAGTTTAAGCAACGATTGGTCAAAATATGCTGAATTTCTGATAACCCCCAAGGATCGAGCCATTTTCTTAAAAGTATCTTTTTATATGGAAATCCCATGTAAGACATTCATCTCATGTGCTACCGAGTAACTTCATACTTGTTGTATTGGACTCCCATCAATAAGGTGAGTTGGAGTTTCTTTGACAGTTTATTACCAAGCAACATACACTTTGTCTTAGATACTAAACGCACCTATTTATCACATATATTATTCATATCTGTCTGTCTATAGTCTGATCATTACTCTCTCCATTGATGGCGCACACACAAAAGGTAGATTTTGTGCCGTTGAAATGAACACATTATTCTCTTCCTGCCAAATAACTACCCATCCAATCAACCGCTGTTTCTGAGAAACCGTAACATGCCAGTTTGTAACAAATGTAGCAAATTGCTGGGATCCACCAAGTCAAAGCAGCTGAGAAATCCTGGAAAATACCTCAACGATGTTCCAGTGGTCGATTTTATAGGAAAAAGTCATCAATTCGTACTTTGACTGTCAATCAATAGTTCTTACTTATAAATCTGCATATCTGCACAGGTTCTGTAGTGTTACTGACGAACCGTTGTGGATATTACCTGAAACGTCTGACCGTTTCCAAAATCCTATCCAGTTGCTTGTTTTTAGGCGTTTATGATATTGTTTATGATAGATTAGCTATTGATGTAACCCAACAGAAATGTGTTCTTCACATTTACAGCTACTTCCAATAACCATTTGATTTTCTTTTTGCAGGTCTAGATATACGGAAGTATGGCTGTATCAAGTATTAAACATGCATTTGCTATCTGATGAATTTCTAATGACCGTAACGAAGTTAAATTTTACAAAAAAAGTATGTTGTCTTGTTCAGCTGTCATCCCAGCCATAACCGAGATCCCTGTCCTACACCCACCTGAAGTCAGGAACAATACGGTGGAGTTTGACTGTGAGGTCAAGTACCCAGAAGATCCCCTAGCGCAGTTTGAAGTGGCGTTTTTGTTTGACAACGAGTATTTTTCTGAGGTACCGAACAAGACCCTTACAGCTGGGCAGAGGCGTGCAACTCTGGACGCAAAATACTTGGGCGAATACAAGATAGGTGTAGATCAGCAGAAGCACTGGGATTCAAAGATGGGCAAAGATGTAAGACAATAATTTCCATTTACTTCTTTCTTTCTTACTCCCTCTCCCTCTCTCTC